AATTTTTACAAAAGACAGTACATCTTTTGACCCAGTATCCTAGTTATTTCCCTGATAATTTTCTTAAGAAACAACTTCCATTTACTGAGCACCAATTAGTACTCACCTATGCCCTTCATCACCCCCACTTTACAGGTGAGAAACTGAGGGTAAAAAGGATTTAAACAACTTGCTCAAGACCCCATGGCAGCTTAGGAGGAGCAGGAGTTGGAAGCTGGCCATTGGATTTCAGAGTTTATGCCCTTAATCATGCTTCTATTTGGCCTCTGGACACCACCAAGAGGGGCAGTTGTGATTAATTCTTGCAACAGCCCCACATGCCAGGTATCTTATCATTTCCACTTGATACAATTGAGACTCTAGAAAGTAAAATAGCTTGACCAATTTCAACCTTTTTTTTTTTTTTTTTTAACTGAGTGAAATCCAGAAAAAACAGATGTGTCCCTTTATGCTCACATTTTCTTCTCCAGCACTGGGACATTCATGGCAAACTGGGCTTATTATGACCAAGTATGAGTCTGCAGCTTAGAAAGAAGCAAGAAATGAATTTATTTTTGATTGGATCTTAAAGGGGCAAATAGTAAATTCTTGCCAATGCCGATATGAGTTCAGGTGAGAACAATCAGAGGGCTCATCGACCAACAATGTCCCCTAGGTCACCATTACATACCAAGGTGGGGAGTTGGGATACACACTTTGCTCACTCTGGGAGAGTCAGGTTCGTTTTTTGAATAAATACCTGGGCGCTGATTGAATCCATCTGGTTTTGATTCAGCCTAGCAGCCTCAGAAAATGCAGAAGTCAGTCAGCTCTCTACTGGGGTCCAATGTCTACGCAAGGCCAATTTATGCTCAGGTAGCCCAGGCACTGCCTATGCCTCAGTTGCCACATTGAACCCAAGCAAACAGAGCCTGGCATGGACTCTCAAGGGATAGTGCTTTTCATCACTCATTGTTCTGAGCTTTTGTCCATGTGTCTGGGTCCAGATGAATGAGATTTACATTGTTTTAATAAATATTAATAGCCATTTTAATCTTAGTAAATCCTTTACATAAGATGTTCAAATGACTTCCCAGTCATCTCAAGCCCCCGGTGAGAGTGAAGACATCTCCTTGAAAAGCTGTATCAGCCCTCCCAGGCCTTTTGGGCCCCACTGAGCTGAGTCTGTGTGAAAGGAAACACATTTGGGGACGAAGCAAACAGGTGCTTAGGATAGGCATGCCATAGTTCACATTCATTGCCCCATTCCCATTTTGAAATATTGGATTCCAGCCTCTGGTTTCAGTTCATTTTACCATCTGTCCTCTATTACTTTTAACATTGAATATTTTATAGTATTAGTGATAATACTAAAAGCTAATATCTAGAGTACTTACAGGGAATCAAACAAGAAGCTATGTTTTTTTCAATGCATTATTTCACTCAGTCCTCCCAGCCATACTGTTAGATAGACATCACTCTCATTCCCACTTTACAGATGAGAAAACTGAGTCTCAGGGAGGTTGTTGTCCAAAGTTATATAACCAGTAAACAACATGACAATTTTGAAATTCAAACTGAGGCTTGTTTGCATCAAATATTTGGCTGCTAATGGAATAGCTGTGTCATTACAACCTTTCTGTTAAAAACCATAATGATCTGGGACAAATAATACTGCACAGTTTGACAAATGTGGAGTGGGAGAGTACAAAGAGAGATTACTTTAAAAAGTCTAATGAATTAAGAGACTGTAAAGTGAATTTTTAAGTCCCTTCCTATCCATAGGATCAGACTGAATGAGCTTCACAATCATGAGCCATGAAAACTGGAAGGTATCTCAGGAATTACACAGTTCAAACTTCTTATTTTACACAAGAGGAATTGAGAAAGAGAGGTGAAGTAATTTGTCTGAGGTTATCATAATCATAAACATCTGGATTATTTACTAAGAGATTTGTTCTTTTTCTTAACAACACATTTTGGGATATACATGGACCAAATCCTAACACAAAATAAAATATTTTACTATGGTTCATTTCTTTATGTGTACATCCCCACTTAGTGATGTTCCCTGCCTCATCTGTCTTAGCAGATGGAAGTTCTAGAACACTGAAAACAACTATGCACAAATGAAATCAGCATAATTATTGATACAGTTTGGCTCTGCTGTCCCCACCCAAATCTCATGTTGAGTTGTAATCCCCAGTGTTGGAGGTGGGGCCTGGTGGGTGGTGATTGGATCATGTGGGTGATTTCTAATCGTTAAGCACCATCGCCCTAATGCTGTCTAGTGAGAGAATTCTCGAGAGCTGGTTGTTTAAAAGTGTGTGGCACATTCCCGTATCGCTTTCTCTTCTGCTCCACTATGTGAAGATGTGCCTGCCTTTCCTTCACCTTCTGCCATGATTGTAAGTCTCCCGAGGCCTTCCTAGCCATGATTCCTATAGAGCCTGCAGAACTGTGTCAATTAAACCCATTTTCTTCATAAATTACTCAGTCTTGGGTAGTTCCTTATAGCACTGCAAGAATGGACCAATACAATTATTCTCCAGAATCATCAATACTTTCCTATTGCAGAATCCAAAATGCTAATGTGCCATTTTTGAGAGGATAGCTGTTGCCTCTAGTTTACACTGATGTCCTGCACCAATGAGTTGTGTGTCTCAGAAGGAATTATTTTATGGCAGCTGGAGTGAGCTGTCTATATGTTTGCACCATTGCTAGGCATTCGGCTGAACAATGGGGTCCTCACTGGCGGGGATTGTGTGTTCTCATTGCTGTCCTCATTGTCCTAAGACAAGCTCTGACACAAAGTCTATACTCGCTGAAAGTTTGCTGAGTAAATGATAAAGATGGATGAATCTTAAGACCCAGAAATCTGTCTCATCAGTGAAGCAATGTAGTGAGAGACTCATCATTAGTTACGTTAATTATAATACAATATATGATATGTTATTTCATATTACAGAATAACAGAGCAGAAACATGAAAAGGTAGCCCAGGCCTAGGTGGAGTCTCAATCAAATTCTAGACTGATAGTGTTAAAATATGCAAATGCCTTTCCAGGATTAGATTGTCCCATTTCAAATTATCAACCACAAAACAGCCAGTGGTCACCAAGGTGCCCTACACTGTTACCATTTTGAAGAGGAAGAGTAGTGACATGAGGCACTGAAGAGGCACTTTAGAAATTCCTTTTAATGGTTATGGGGATTGAGATATTTTTAGGTTAAATATCTCTGTGAAAGCTCAAGCCGTAGGTGATGTTTTGGAAACTGATTCATTCTTTCTTATTCAACATTCATTGGATATTGTGCCATGCCCCAAAGATATAAACATGCAAAAGACATGATTCCCTGTTCTCAAGGAACCTGCAGTCTTGGGAAGAGGGGTAAGAATACACAAAGTAGACACACAATTACAGTAAAGTCGGGTTAAGACAACTGGCTCTCACATCAAACTGCCATTGCCCAACTCCCACTGTGTATTCACTAGCTGTGTAACATGAATGAGTTCCTTTACTTCTAAAAGCCTTGGGTCATCAAAGGTAAAAGAGGGGTCATAGTGCTAATACCTATCATGCAAAGTTCTCAGGTGCGTTAGATAATATATATTAATGCTTAGCAGAGCTTGTCATAAATATTCAAAAAGCTATGATAACAGTGGCTATTACAATTCCATTGTAAATGCATTAATAGAAATATAAATAGAGGTAGGGTGCCTGAGAAAAACAGGATTTGGAGGGAAGTAGAGGAAGACTACCTTCCTCAAGGACCATAAAGATGCATCAGTAGGCAGAATGTGTCTTTGAAGTTGGATGATTGGAGTTGGGATAGGGGATAGCTGTCTCTCCTTTGGGTGTCTGACAGGTAAAGTCCAAAGGGTTGGAGCCATTTAAAAACATAAACTTTTCAAAGCAAGGCTTATATCCCCAACCAGCTAGATCAGAGAATGTGAAGAAGAGCAGAAGATGAAGCAGAGGAGGAAATGCAGAAGTTGGATCCTAACCTTACTTTATTTCAATCATTTTGCAGGTCATTAAATTCTTCATAAATTACCCAGTCTCAGGTCATTCCTTATAGCAATGCAAGAATGGACTAATACAATTATTCTGCAGAATCATCCATACTTTTCTATTTCAAAATACAAAATATTAATGTGCCATTTAATCGGGAAAGTGACGTACCAGAATTTTGGAAGGGTCACCCTGGCTACGATGTAACCTAGAGTGACTCAGGAGAGATGAGGCTAGAGGCAGGGATACTGGTACTGTCTAAGAAGCTGCTGCATTAATGAAAGAGGAAATGATGAGAACCTAATCAGGCAATAATAATGGGAGCAAAGAGAAGTGAAGAGATTTGAGAGGCTTATAAGAAGAAAGTGGTAGGACTTAACAATTAATTGGATGTGAATACCAAAGCAAGGGGCAGTCAGTCAAGGATGGCTCCTGGATTTCTGGCTTGAGAGACTGAGTGAATGAAAGAGCAGGTAGAGTGAGAAAAATGATGCTTTCAGTTTGAGATATGTCAAGTTTAAGGTTCCTTATAGGTCTTCCAGGGAGAAAGGTCTAGCAGGCATCTGGATAGAAATGTCTGGCACTCTAGACATACAGGTTATTCAAGTCATGGAGAAGATCCAAGAAATTATTTTATGCATTGAAAATACTTGATATTAAGCCACCTAATGAATCCATTTTTGTTGCTGTTATTAAAGATGAGAACACGGAATACAGAATATACGGTTCTTCTAAAAGATCCACCTTCATTTTTACTAAAGTGAATGACCCACTTTGATGAATAGAATAACTTCTAAGGTCTCTTACAACTCTAATGTTACAATTCTATTGTTCATCTGGAATTGCCTTTTGAGGACAGCACACCTGTGGCCTTAAATCTTCCTCCTTGAACATGTGAAATTTTTTTAAATGAAAGTTCATTATAAGTAAAGCCATACAAACCCAAACATGCAGTGATGATGCTTATAGCAAAGAAAAACCAAGTAAAGACACTATCTACATTTACCTACTCTGATCCCAATTGGCTGCAAACAGCAAAAGAATCTTCCTGCCGTAATGGTCTCGGTTTTCCAGCACCCCGGGGAACCCATCGATCAGAGCCCTCTTAATGCCGGGATCATCTGCCTTGAAGTTTTTGAACATGTCCAGGTTTAGCTGGCGGTACTGGAAATACTGAGCCAGGAGTCTAAAGGCATCCGCTTGGTGAAACTTCCTGGCTCGGAGGAATCTCAGGATGAAGGCATCATCTGTACGTAAAAATCCAATGTCAGGCCTGGTGATGATCATGTCCCTGACTTGCTGAATATCCTGATGTAAAACATCTGGGTTTTCATTCAGTTCCAGGCGAGCTTTCTCTATAGTCTCTGGACTGAGTCCAGCCTGTAAATGGGTCATCTTGGCCAAATCTCCGTTCCAAGTGTTTAACTTCTGATATTTTGGAAGAAGAGAGATTGGTCCCATTCACCTGATGGTCTGCTGAAACTGTGGCCCATTCAACAGTGTCTTACTACCAGACTGCCCTGGAACAGACAAATAGAGGGTCTTCTTTCGCATTCAGGCCCTATGTGGTCGTGTCCATCCAAAAGAGAAGCAAAACTGAGGCCATTGTTTACTGAAAAACAAATACACACAAAAGAAACAAAACAGAGATGATACAAAGAAAGTCTGGGCAAATTAATTGGAGCTTAGACAGAAAAACAGTATATTAGGTTGTGTGTCTGATTAGATCAGATATCCAAAGAACAAATGATAAATTATCCTTAAAATGGGTATTGAGCATAAGTTGATTATAGACAACTTGAATACCTAATATGCAAATATTTGAAATATGTTTGGGAACGTTTTAGTTCCATTGACCAGTTAACATAATAGTGCCTGACCAGATTAGCAATAGAGTGCACTTTTATTAATTACCTTAAGAAAAAGTGAGAGGAGAGAAGGATACTTCTCTGTGACAGCATGCTTTATGGGACCACTCACAGGCTTAGATATGGCAAATAAATTATAGCTGTGGTACAATTTACTGCTTCCTATTGGCCTCTTTTCTCAAACAGAAGTATCTTTCACAGAAATATCCCTTCCCCCACTTTTTAAAAGCCAGCCATTTGTATCTTAATTATAAAAAAGCTTTCCCTGTTTTAACCCCACCGGTGTTTGTGACTCACAGGAGTCCTCCACCAGTGTGTGTGAAGGGTAGGGGTGGGGACAGACTTATGGCTGGAAGCTTGACCTCTAATAATCAAATTCAACAACGGGCAAGGAGGCTCACAGGGACATTTACAAATGACTTTATTATTTGCATTTGCCATTCTTTTACTAGGAAGGCAAGAGGGACTTGAGACTATTGGTTGGCTCTTCACTTAACCCACTATCCATATGAGTTTAAAAATTCTTCCATTGTATATAACCTGTCTGTTCTCCTATGATGCTGTTTCACTTATGATAATTGTATTTTAATCCACTCAGATACATCCTTTATGATTTCTCCAACAAAATGGTATACAGAGAAACACCCATACTGTTTGCATCTTATTTTAAATATAAATGCTTAAACTCTTGCAGACATCTGTTTGGTCTAACCTGGAAGTTCCAAAAATCAGAAGACACACCAGGTATACATAAACTTAGAGGCATATATTTTTCCTAGCTTTCCTAAGTCAATCTTATCTGCAATAAGAGGTAGAATATTTACTCCCAATGTAATCATTATTGGTAAAACTTTATCATACAAAATAAATGATGATTCTTTTGCTTAATTTAGGACTAACAATAATTTAAGAGAGACGATCAGCCCACATATTTCTACTTTACAATGTCTTTGGGTATGGAGGAGATAAAAGCCAGTTTAAGTAACTGGTATTCATTTTCAAGATAATAGAATAATGAAAATAATTTTATTTATAAAACATCAGCTTCGTAAAGTAACTTGTAAGAATATAGTATTTAGCTCTGTGATATTCTGTAAGAAACATAAGAGTCTTACTTCTCACTGATTTGGAGGACTGATAATAGTAAAGGAAAATAGTGTTATAAACGATTCCTAGTATTGGAAGAAATTTCAAAACCTATTAGTTTACTGCCCACCTGATGTTAAAATTCCTTCTCTGACAGCCCTTTCAGAAAGCAGCCTCACCCAAAGTCTTCCTTCTCCAGTTCTTCCCTACACTCATTGCAATCTATTTTTGACATGCTGCCGAAACTGCTCATACCAATCAATGACATGGATGACAATATAACTTATTATCCAAACTTAGGCACTACAGGGTGCTAATAATAATGATGCTAGAACAACGGCTTCCAAGCAAACTCAGACAGATGGTCATTCTACTAGTGAATGTCATTTTTGTTACTACAGCAAATAAACTTCAGCACCTACTGTAGGTGAGCTCTCTCACTATTTGATGTTGATCACATCATCCTTCTTAGACCTCCTTCTCCCATTTTCCCATTTTTTTCTGTGATTCCATTTACCCTTGATTTGTCACCTAGCCCTTTGTCCCTCCCTCTCCATCTTCTCTTTCCGTGCTCACATCTTCAATGTTAGTGTTTTCCAGCATGCTGCCTCCATGATCCCCCATCTACAACTTCAGTCCGTAGCTCCCTCCTGATCTTCAGGCTGCACATTCTACATCCTACTGAACATCTCCACTTACTTGACTCACAAACACAAATTCAGTATGTTCAAAACTGAGCTAATCATAGTTCCTTATACTGGATTTGCTCCTCGCCATTTCTTTTAGTAAATGACATAATCATCAATGCAGTTTCCCATGCTAGAAACCATGGAGTCAACTATTATTCTACCTCTCTCTTATCGCCCACTACCAGGCAATCACCTCCATAACATTTTTCAAATTTGCCCAATTATTTCCATCCCCATGATCACTGTCTTTGTTTATATTGCATTACTACTCATCTGCTTATCCTGCAACATTCTCCCTATTGGTACCCTTGCTGCCAGTCCATTCTCTGCATTTCAACCCATTCTCTGTATTACAGTTGAAATATGCCCATGTCACTCCTTGATTAACATCTATCATTAGCATCTAGTTGTCCTAGGATAAAGTATAAAACTATGTAGCATGGTTTTAAGACCTTTCATTTTTCTGGTCCCTTTATAACTCTCCAGATTTATTGTCTGATCATGTAGCCATTGGCAGCTTCTTCTCACCTTTGTGTGCCTTGGTAAAAACTGCTCGTGCTCTCTCACGTGCTCTCTCTCTCTCTCTCTCTCTCTCTCTCTCTCATGACCACTGATTGACTCCTCTTTGCCCTTCAGAAGTCAACTTGAAACTCATTTCCCCAGGAAACCCTTCCTGACCTTCAGAGGTCACAGTAGTCCCACATCCCTGACCACACCATATTCTATTGCCATTTTCCTTTCTCTCGCTTTATCCAGAACACCTGACAGAGAAGGACTGGATTTAATTCATCTGTGTATCCCTGATACAGGGCATGGCCCAAAGAGGGTCCACTCCATGAGCCAAGTGACTTCATTGCATTCACCACCACATCCTCAGTGCCTAGCTCAGTGGCTGCCATGAAGTAGGTGCTCAGTAAATAGACCTAGAATATATGAATAAAGAAAGTAGTTAAAATGTTTGAATGAATGAATAAGTGTATCAGTACCTCCAGGACAGTTTATTCTTAAGTGAGGTGTTATGGCTGATTGATTAATGTCTTTGTTCATCTACAAAGTATTTTGTTTTTCCTGGAGAATTTAGCCTAAGCACACTGTGCTTCAGTTTCTCACCTCCCTAAAGCATGCCAGGTGATGTTCACAGTTCCAAGCCACAGAGCACAGTGCATAAAGCACAAGGCACAGCAATGGCTCATTCCCTACAGAAGATTTAAAGCTTGGAGCAACTTACTTACCTTACAGTTCAGGGAACTCAACAATGTTTCTGAGATAAATTACTATGGGTTCAAAAGGAAAGTTGAGATTGCATTTTTCATGGCCTGCTTCCACATATAGCTATGCCTCCAATCTATAATATCTGACACAAATTTGCTTCAATCTATATCTTTATTCTGTGCTCAGCATACAGTAGAAGCTTCTGGGGAGAATACTCAAGCCAGGGTCACTGGGTATCATAACTTAGGATAACATAGATATTTTCTGTTAAAGGCAAATTCTTCATACCAGAAGTCTGAATAGGTTGCTGCTTAAATAACAACTTCAACTGATAATATTTAAGGCACTAGAAAGGCTATATGAAGAATGTTCACCAGGATATAGCATTTGCATTTGACTATAATATTTTGTTCACATAAAGGACTTGGTTCTCATTCAGCTTTTCCAAGTTATAAATGAACACATTGAACTTGTATCACATGAAGAACTGGAAATGATTTTCTGTGCTGGTGGTATTAATGATAATACCTATTATTTATTATAGCTATTTATTATACCCTAGGCATTTGCAGACTCTCTTTTTATAGACTACAGTATCTAATCCTCAGAACAACTGTATGAAATGAGTATATTATTGTCTTCATTTTTCAAATGAGGAAACTAAGGCATATAGGGAGGTTAAACAACTACCTAAAATTACACAGCCACTAAGGGGCAGATACTGGATTGGGCCCAAAGTAATCTTTCTCTGAACCCATGCTCTTTGCTGTTTTGCTGTTCTCTTATGTGTGGGAGAGAGGTTCTATTATTTATGATTTAAGACTCATGTGACCATCTGCAAGTCTCAGAACCTCACTCTGGTTCCCTAAAATTCCTTTTAATCTTACCATTTTATGAGCCTAAATATGCCAGTGGATAAATAGATTTTCTTGGCTGGCTTAATCCTGTGTCTTACAGATATCTAGCTGTCATTTCTTCCTCCTTCCTTCATTGGAAGATGACTGTAGCTGTTGAAAACCTAGCTGTCTATGCCTTTTCCAGTTATCACTAATTTTTTCTCTTCATTTAGATATTTCCTTTGGCAAAAATGACACATCAAAGATCACAGATCTTGTCATTCTGTTTGAAGGATTGATTGCCCTGCCTAGCAGAGTGCCAAGCATGGTGTCAGCACTGAAATGTGCTCGATGATCTAAACAGGCCAGTTTAGGCAGATTCATGTGAGCCTCAGAGACCATCTCCCCCCAGCATGGTTTAGTCCCAGATGATTCTGTATTTGGAGACCATTTCAAATGCATGGAGAGTAATTCATAAACATTCTCTGGGGTGAGCAAGGTGGAGGATACCTCTTTTCACTCCAATCCACACCTTTTCCAGCAAACCAGAAAATTAGGTAGTGGTATTTTTGCATGAGAGGGAGGAAAGAAGAGTATCCATATTATGGTATTTAAAATCATGTTATCTGTAGGTTCTAGTTTTATATTTTATCTCAAGATTCCATTAGAAAAAAATCTATATATATTTCCTCATACAGAATTTAGTCTTAAGAAAGTACATCTACAAACATAAACAGTATTCTTTATGAATCAAAGAGTCAATCAAATCTCTACTGAAAAATTGGAATGGGAGAGAGAATAAGTTTTTCCATGAAGAAACAATCTGACAACAAATTCAAGGATTGTCCATTTGAAATTGTGATATTTCCTGAGCTCTAAGATTGATTTCATTTTCATCTACTCTAGAATATATGTAAAAGA